ACCTCCTCTCTCACACGATCGGCTTCACCGTGGTGGGTCCACTGGGTATAGTTTTTCGTAAATCCATGCCTAGCCAGATGTGAAGTCATCACCTCCTTTGTCTGCCTCTTTCTGTTCTTACAGTTGATGCAGGGACAAAAAACGGCACGCGCTCTGGGAGCCTGGTCAAATACTTGCTTGATGAAAGCCTCGGTCTTGTCGACCCATTCTCTGGTAATCTCACGGGCGCTCCGGCGGCCCGAGTACATCCACTCACGGTCATCCATCCTCTAACATATATATCACTAAGTAATAAATATAACCATGGACTTGCATCTACACGTCGTTCCTACCATGCATAGGTAAGGATAGGTCCTAATCCCACCCGAGGATGCGTAGATGGTGTTAGTTCCCATGGTCTGGTTCTATCCGAAACAGAATTTCGACAGCACCTCCCCGTTGTTCTCCAAATACATGTCCCGACAGGGAGATTGTGTATCCGGAGAACAACAGGAAGGTACTGTCGAAACTCTGTCTCGGATCGGAGCAAACCATGGAAACTAACACCATCTGCGCATCCTCGGGCTGTCCAAAAAACGTGGACAATTCGAAACAGATACGGTTATTGATATGCAAAGATCTGCATATTTCTAACCGTATCTCTTTCGAACAGGAGACACCTAACTGGGTTACGTGGAGATACATGACCAGGACAAAGAAAGAGTGGTTATACCTTAGGTGGCGGTGAAGTCAGGCTAGCGGGGCCGTGGCGGGTCGGTGCAGTGGTGAGGCGACGCGGTGCGGGCAGATCTGGGGACACCGGGGTACTCCGACTCGGCTCCTGCAAAAAGAAAGAAAGAAGCAAAATAACATCAACTCAAAAATTCGGCAGCATCTCCCCTGAAAGGTGAGGTTTCCAAACCTGAAAGAAAACCACGGCACGATGGCCGACAACCACATATATATCAAGGAACCACATGCAGCTTAATTATCAACTACTACTACTCTAACTACTACAACTACTACTGATAAGAAACTTATCTTTCCCATCTCATTCAGTTCCATCATTTTTTCGTTCTCAGCATTCAGAAACACTATCAAGCTTAGAAAATTGTATGACTTCGACCAGAAAGCTTACACAATTTCCACTGCCATATCTGGTGGCACAAAGGGAATTGGCAAATATGTTAATCAAGTTCGCTTCTCGTGGAACAGTACATGTTTGAATTCACAAGCAATACATTCCCTGTTAATCCTATTTTGCCTTCTCATCATTTCAACCAGCAAATAATTTTCAGACACTTTGCCCTTCTATAGCAAACAATGTGACAAATGGATTTAGGATGCACAGTAATTTAGTAAATGCAGGAATTCTCCTTTTAAGAAATACAAATTCGGATATTTCTATTTTTAACATTATAATCCAGTTAGCCTCTTTTTGCTCACGGAGATAACTTAGTTTATTTGACAAGAAAACAAAGTACTACTACATGATACATTGCAACTGTGCACGAGGAAGAAGTTTTAATTAAATTCTTTAGATCTTTCATCACAGGTGCCAGCTCAGTAGCTGTTTCATCATTCCATATCAATCACCAGCCCATAACAGCCAAGAATCATCAGTACGGAAGAAAAAGAAACTACTAGTAACTCTTGCCTGAGCTTAAACATATGAGAAACTGTCATATAAGTTTAAACATCTGAGATAAACAAAATGTCTGAGCTTAAAACCACACTACATTACTGTCAAGCAAACGACATGCAGCAAAAGATCTTACCCTCACAGTTACCTCTAATAATAATGATAGTTATTTAAATTTAATTGCATTTTATATACATAGCATAAAGCTTAATACTGCTGATTATGTTGACACAAAAAAATCTGAAATGATTAGTTCTGAGAAGAAATAGATTATGCGAGCGTGCTGCTTAGTTCAGTAGAATAACACAAACATGACCTTTTTTAGTTCCATGCACTATAGCTTTATTTGTGATTCATCTCTTTGTTCATCCCGAGTTTGTATGACTCTATGTAATTGTCTATCAGCATCCGGTAGTAATATCTCTTTACTTGACCTCCCGTTGTTTCATTTTTTTTTGTTATGAACTTTGAAACATTAAACTCTGGTGTGGTGAGGGGGAAAAAGCATTCTCTGCAGCTTTTTCAGGGAGCAGTTTACTAGCAAGATGCATTCTTGGTATTGTTGTTGGATTAAGCTAGAAAAGGTCAGAAAATAAGTCTAAGAAATGGTTATTATCAAATATAATCAATCTTCTGGGCTTCTGGCTAAGTTTCATGTTACTAGAATCAGTTAGACTCGAAACAAGCAGATTAAGCTGCATGCACCATAAATTTGGTCCTGGAAATAAAGAAGGAAATAAATAACACAAAAATTACAAGGAACTACTCAGGGGTTGGGGTAGGCAATACAAAGAAGCTGTTAGCACTATCAAACATATATTCTGTCTGTCGCCCTACCTGTAGTTTCAGAAAGGATAAGAATTGACATATCAGAGCTAATTCAAGAATGAAAGCGCAACATGATTTCTAGACTCTGTAGTACAAGAGGATAGCCGTGATACACGAGATCCAGATCAAAAGGCGTAGTGGACCTAAAGTTAAGGTTATCACAACATGATTTCTAGAACTGCCGTTTTCACACTTCAAAAGGAAGCAAATGGAATTTTGGACATACATCTCAGCCTGTGAGACGAGGAACTTGGTGTGGGACTTGAATTTTGACAGGGAATTTCAAAGAAATTTTAACGAAGCTAGCATTCACCGAGAGAAGTCTCGTGGATCAGACCTATATCCTCTGACCACGCTTGAAGATGTTGGTGCCTCTCCTCCTCGCTCCTCTGCTTGGGGGAGAGGACGGCGCGCCACTCCTCCTCGCTCCTCTGCTTGCGGGGGCGGGACGAATGATTGCGTCGTTGGCGTGTGGGGCGAGAGCGGCGCCGTGTGTGTGGTGTGGGCGGGTGGGCGGTGGCCGCTGCATGTGTGACGGGCGGATGGGGGGGCTGGCTGGCCAGGCGGGTGCTGGGCGGCGAGGCTCGGGCGAAGCGGCGGCGGTGTGCAGCGTGGGCGGGCGTGGTATGGGCGGCGGTGCGGCGGGGGGCTGCGTCAAACAGTTCACCTTGCGGCTTATGGGGCTGCGCCTTAAACGTTTAAGTGGTGAAGCCACTTTTTGCCGAGAGCCAGATCTGGGAGGCTCTCGGCAAACCTTCCTTTGCCGAGAGCACCCAGATTCGGCTCTCGGTAAAGTTATTTTTTTCAAATTTCGTTCGAATTTTTAACTAGCTAACTGCACAAAAAATATAAAAAATAAAATTATTATTTGCCGAGAGTAGCTCTCGGCAAACTCTCGCCAAAGCCAGCTCTCGGCAAACAATTGATCGAGCCAGGTAAAAAAAGAAATCTGCGGCACGAGAGCGGGCCTAGTTGCTCTCGGAAAAAGATTTTGCCGAGAGCAATCCCTCAAGCTCTCGGCAAATAATATCCAAAAAATTAATAAACAAAGAAACGGCTCCGGAAAAATATGAATTTTTGCCGTGTTACAACTTATGCTCTCTAATGGCTATACAAAAGTTTGGAACTCCAAAACTAATTTGACCGTGACATTGTTTGAAAATCCTAATGACTCCTTCTCAACTTTATAAAACTTATTCGGAGATGTCTCAGATTGTAAGAATCATATGCAACCACTTGTGCGAAACATTTTCAATTTTTTACCACAGCCTCCAAGTGTGATACCATGACTTCATTGCAAATATCACAATTTTCCGACTTCGTTTCCTTTTTTAAGAATTTTTAAATCGTTGGGCGACATATGTTCGTGGTCTTCGATTCGTAAAATAAAAGGTGAAAAAACGTCAACAAGTTGTTATTTGCCCTCAATAATGCATAAATAGCATGAATATCATTTTCTACTTAATTTTTTCCCGTGTTTAAATCAATCGCTGTTCAAATTTTAATCGATTAAAAAAACTCCTTGAAATGCAATTAATTAATTATATATAGCAAATAATTACAAAAATACACAAAATTTTAATATTGAGTACAACCTATAGTATGTCTATAGAGAAAAAAGTTTGGAGCATATGAAAGAAAAAATAATTTAATTGGAGAGAGTTAGGAGAAGAGAAACACATACACATGAAATATAGAAACCACATTTGCCGAGAGCCTGGGAGGGGCTCTCGGCAAATATTTGCCAAGAGCGGCTCTCGGCAAAGAGTTTTGCCGAGAGCAGTGACGGAGGGGCTCTCGGCAAAGCGGTGACGCCGTCAGGGCAGGTCACGGCTATGGGCCCGCGGCAATGTTTTGCCGAGAGCCTGATTTTGCCGAGAGCGCGGCCTACGGCAAAGGACCAGTTTTGCCGACGGGCATTTTTTGCCGAGCCCAGCTCTCGGCAAAACGGCCCACTTCGCCGAGAGCTGTTGCTTGCCGAGATGCAGGCTCACGACGATCCTGTCACTTGCCGACGGCCGATGTTTGCCGAGAGCTGCTCTCGGCAAACGTTTTCTTTGCCGAGAGCTCGCGTTTTTGCTCTCGGCAAAAATATAGGATCTCGGCAAAGGACGTTTTTCCGGTAGTGATAGGAGGAGCCAAATCAACTGGATGTCACATAGACATGTCAAAAAACGCTACTCACACAGAACGAGAGATTCTATCCGTGCACCGTACGTGCTCACATCCGATCCAGGCGAGTTCCTCAAACGAGTTCAACGCCTTTGCATGCCATGATCCTGGGAGATTGCACGCACCTTAAGTTCAGGCGGTCAATCGTGTGATTATTGCGCGCACGTTGCTGGCATGTGGAGTTCATCAAGGAGCAGCATGCATGCTTAGATGCCAGGTTTTGTAACGTGAGGTCGTGCTCCTCGCCGATAACATATAAAACTTGGAGGCATTTGACCTTGACGCGTATATAAATTGGTCGCGCCAGGATAGATGCTTGAGCTGCGCAACAGCAGGCAGGTATCGCCTGCACCTAGGAGTCAGAAGCAGGTCGAGCGCCATGGGGACAGGAGCCGGCCGCGTCTTCCTCCTCGCCTTGGTGCTGCTCTTCGCTCTGCAGACGACGCCGGCGTCGGCTGACAAGAAGGCAATGCATGATGCCATGATGCTTCCTTTGTTATCTCCTTTTTGCCTCCTCGTCATGTTCTTCGATATGCATACAGATACAGTGTTAATTAGTACTGATCTGATTTACATGCCTGCAGCCGTGTGTGATCTTCTTCAGTGCTTTCCCGGCCTCCCTTAATGCGCTGCTCGCTACAATCACCGATGAGTAAGATCAAATACTAGTATTACTGCGTTATTAACTCTTAGCTAGGCATCGTTGAGAAAGAAATGCGTGCTTATTAGCTACGGCACGAAATGCAGCTTCACGATCCTGCCGTACGACCTGCGGGCCATCAGTGGGGTCGCGCTGCAGATCGACGAGAGCTTCGTGCCGCTCCTCCGACGTATGTTTTGTCTGTCTCTGGTTCAACGATCCGACGGGTTTTACGAGCGAGTGAATGAATACATATATACTCCTCGGATCGGCGCTGATGCGTTTCGTCTTTGCTTTGGTTGATTGGTTCAGAGCTCCCCGGCGTGATAGCCGTGATCCCGGACACCCTGTACAAGCCCCACACCACGCACTCGTGGGACTTCCTCGGGCTCGCCAGCAACGGCGGCGAGATAACCCCCGCGTGGTCGTCTGCGAAGCTGGGCGTGGGCACCATCATCGGGGTCATCGACACAGGTAAGACTGATGCACCTGCTACTCCATGTTCTTCAACGTGAATAACGCACAGCTAATAACAGTAGGACGGATGGAGTCTGTGTGTGTGAATCAAGTATCCTAATAAAGGTCACTGGTACAGAACTGATTATCAAAGACGTTTGGTAACATCAACCGTCCGGGGAAGTACGGATGTAGGAGCGATTCTTGTACCAGCCGAAGTTGGAAAAAATTAGAGATGCGAAAGAGCCTTTGGGTTGGTAGTAGTAGTGTCGCTCAGTGCAGCGATATCCGCCCAAGCTTGATTTGTAAAGTTTAAGGGCCTAGATAATTACTTTGAGAGTTTATGAAAGAAGATAATAAAAATGCGAAAAATGTCTGAGGGCCTATGGTATATTTCACTCGTCTGAGTCTTTATTACATGTTTGGCCGGTGCTTCAGCAGCTTTCACAAAATAGAAAAGAAAAATAAAGATACCTATAAAAAACATTTTTTTAGTAGTTAGTGCTTGTGGTCTAGTGGTACATCATGAAAAAAAACGAAGGCAATGGGTGCTGACTTTATGTCGCATTGAGATGCACGGCAGAGTTTCGCTTGTACGCATTTCTTTCTTTAATTCTTCTAGTATAATTCCGCAAATCTCTTGCCGAACTTTTGAAGAAAAAAAAGAGATGCACGACAGATTTCGTGGCCATCTCTACAAGTACAATGATTGCTTCCGATCCGAACTACTAGTAATTAGAATCACATCCCAGCTATAGCGTCTCTAAAAAGTCAACTCGAACCTGAGGGCTATGTTCGCTTGAGCTTATCAGTCAGAATCAGTCTTACATTTTCAACCATGGAACAGTATTTTTCTCTCACAACTAATCAGCCATACAAATCAGCCGTAGCAGTAATAAGTGCTGCCGAACAGGGCCGTAACAGCGGTCAGATATTGATTCTTGAGTAGTACAAGTACTTAGACAGTTACCGATCTGAAGCTGCTTGTGATATTGTGTTCGCTGCATGTACGACGAAGGCGTATGGCCGGAATCACAAAGCTTCCAAAACGATACCATGCCGGACGTCCCATTGGGCCGTTGGCGCGGCACCTGCGAGAAAGGCAACGACCCGACCTTCCAGTGCAACAGGTAGCGCGCGCGCCTGCAATGACTCGGACAAACAACTAGGCATAGACAGGGTCCCCGTGCTCCGGCAGGCCGGGGGGGGCCAACGTTATGCGTGTGAAAAAACTGACGCCGCCTCGTACCGGCGTACGTACACGCAGGAAGCTGATCGGCGCGAGGTTCTTCAGCGAGGGCATCCAGGCGTCGGGCGCCCTGGGCGACGGAGGAGGCCAGCAGCAGCCGAGCCAGGCGGACCTGTCGTCGCCGCGGGACTACGTGGGGCACGGCACGCACACGATGTCCACCGCGGGCGGCTCCTTCGTCCGGGGCGCCAGCGTGTTCGGCCACGGCAAGGGCACGGCCGCGGGCGGCTCGCCGGGCGCGCGCGTGGCCGCGTACAAGGCGTGCTACGAGCCGGGGTGCTCCGGCATCGACATCCTGGCGGCCATCGTCGCGGCGGTGGCGGACGGCGTGCACGTCCTCTCCCTCTCCCTCGGCGCGCCGCCTGGCGACTACCTCACGGACCTGACCGCGATCGGCGCGTTCTTCGCCGTCCAGAGCGGGGTCACCGTCGTCTGCTCCGCCGGCAACTCCGGCCCGCAGCCGAGCACGGCTACCAACCTTGCCCCCTGGATCTTCACGGTCGGCGCAAGCACCATGGACAGGGATTTCCCAGCATATGTCAGCTTCAATGGCGCCACCATCCAGGTATATATACGTACGATGAGTGAGTGGATTGAACCATCGCGACATGCGGCCAAGCTAGATTTGCTCATCACGTACGTCGTCCCGGGTGCAATTGATTGACAGGGACAAAGTCTCGCAGACAGCACTCTGCCCATTGGTCAGCCGTATCAGATTATCAGCGGGGAGAAGGCCAACGCCGTGAACCAACCAACCGGCAACTCGTACGTACCCATGTGATTCTTCACAGCCTGCTGTTTGTTGTTCGGATCGACGTGTGTCGTATATATGAACGTCCTGCTGATCGATGAGGTTCCTCGTGCCTGCCTGCAGGTCGCTGTGCTTGCCCGGCTCTCTGGACCCTGACAAGGTGAAGGGCAAGATTGTGGTCTGCGTCAGAGGGGTGAACGCCAGAGTGGAGAAGGGGTTTGTGGTCAAACAGGCGGGCGGCGTCGGTATGGTCCTCTGCAACGACGCCAGCACCGGGGACACCGTCCTCGCCGACGCGCACGTCCTCGCGGCAGCTCACTGCGCCTATTCGCAGTGCGTCCGGCTCTTCACCTACCTCCAGTCTACCAAGTAAGCAAACCTGCTGCCCGGCCGCAGCGCGTTGGACTGAACCGACTGATCAGCATTTCCACTTCCACTGTAGCAATCCGTTGGGCTACATCAACGCAACAGACGCGAGTTTTGGCGTAAAACCTGCGCCGAAGATTGCAGCGTTCTCGTCCCGGGGGCCAAACGCCATAACTCCTCAGATCCTCAAGGTTAGCGCACATTGTTCAGCAACCAGATTGTCCCATCCTGTGACTAGCAGACTAGCAGTAGTGTCGCTGACATGTCGTTGGCAGCCCGACATCACAGCACCAGGTGTCAACGTAATCGCCGCGTACAGCGGCGCGGTCTCACCAACGGAGCTCCCGTTCGATGACCGGCGTGTCGCCTACAACATAATGTCCGGCACCTCCATGTCGTGCCCCCACGTCTCCGGCATCGTCGGCCTCCTCAAGACAAAGTACCCCTCTTGGAGCCCCGCCATGATCAAGTCGGCAATCATGACCACCGGTGAGCTACAGCACCAACACTTTTGAAGCCATCTATATATGTTCTCTGGAGGAGCCTAACGCATGATCCGTCCCGTGTTTTGTATGCTGCACTGCAGCGAACACCATGGCCAACGACGGCAACCCGATCCAAGACGAGGCCGGCGCCGTCGCCACGCCGTTCGGGTACGGTTCAGGCCACGTGGACCCCGTCAGGGCACTGGACCCCGGGCTGGTGTACGACACCACGCTGGTCGATTACACCAACTTCCTCTGCTCACTGAAGCCCACGCAGACGACGCAGGACCCGATCCCGAGCCTCCCGGTCGACCTCCCTATGATGGGCAGCGTCTCCCCACCCGTCACCAGCCTCCTGCTCCCACTGTTCAACGCCGCCGGCGAGCCGTGCAAGTGCAGCCAGGGCCCCTACGGCCGCCCCGAGGACTTGAACTACCCGTCCATCGCCGTGCCGTGCCTGTCCGGCAGCGGCACCACGGTGAAGCGCCGCCTGAAGAACGTCGGCGGCGCGCCCAGCAAGTACAAGGTTACGGTCACGGAGCCCGCGGGGGTCAAGGTCACGGTAGCGCCGAGCGAACTGGACTTCGTCTGGGTCGGAGAGGAGAAGGAGTTCACGGTGAAGCTGGACATGGACGTCAACGCCCCGGCGGCGGCTAATGACTACGTGTTCGGTAGTATTGTGTGGTCCGACGCGGACGCGGACGCGTCGGACGTGAACAAGGCGCGTCGCGTCCGGAGCCCCGTCGTGGTTAGGACCAAGTGCGGCTAGCGGACTAGCAGAGCACAGAAAAGGCATGCAAATTGCGTGATTAATAATCCTCCTTAAAGCATCTTCCAAAAGCTTCTTTAAAAAAAAATGTAAACGAGCGACAATACCAAATAAATGAAATGAATATATTATTTTTATCTTTCTCCACTTCAATAGATAGCTTCCGAAGAACATCTCCACAGCCCCTTTCGGATCCTTTTGAACTGAATTCATTTTATTAATTATAATCTAGACACATATTAATTAAGCTAATATGACTGCATATGGATTATATTTGTATATTATTGTTAGCTATACGAGATATACTTATGTGTTGCATTTCTACCGTATGGGAGCGACACGAAGAGCGCGTTATAAGTTGCAAAGTAGAAATATAGCATGATGATCAGAATCAATTTTCATTTCCCACCTTATGAATTTGAGATAGGCTTATATGTGAATTTTGGAAAGTGATGGAATGTCGAATTTCAAGCCAAATGGCCTAGTTTATTAAGTAGATTTCAATTTCTCCAAATAAAAGGATCCAAACAGCTCTGCATGTAAAACTCATTTCCAATCTCCTTTTCTCGTAGGATGAAAAAAAAACCATGTCTAACAACTCATTGTAGAGTTGTACTAACTCCTCATCGATCCGCACTTAAAAAACGAATGCATCCACGCACAAATATACGTGAACGACTGATGCTCCGTATTGGTGTTGGTGCCAAGATATTCCTTATCGGTGTTAGCGCCATTTATTTCAGCAGCGCTCTTCATGGTCCCCGACTTTCGTGGACCACCGCCTAGAGGTTTGTTAGAATTAGATCTTCTGTTACTATTTTTACATATGAGAATATTGTAAGATAGAGCAAGCAACGAAGATTCCATCTTGTAGGTTATGGGTGTGAATTATGGTGGTGGAGATGTCCAGGAATGGCTTGGCCGCCGCCGTCGCCTTGGAGGTTCTCCGAAATTGTGGCTATTATTTTTAAATGTAAAAATAATGGGAGATAAAAAAAAGCAATAGAGATTCTGTTTTGAAGTTTTTGCACTATTATAAAACATATATTACTGCCGGTTTGTGAGTGGTAGTCTCCAGTTGAAAGGTTGTCCACTAGGGTCGTCGAGTCTATTGTTGTTTCTACGGCCTGCATAATTCTGCCTTATGCCCCACTGGTCATAGCGATAGATGAGATCTAATATGTTCATTAGATTTATCTCTATTAAATGGTTGAATGATGGTGAAATGTTTCTTTTATAAAGGGGTTCGGTTACTTGCAGTTATTGGCTCAGTATAAACTAATTATTGTTAATATCTTATTGTCATTGACCAATATTTGTCTAAAGAATGATATTCATCCTGAACGCTAACCGATTCTTCTTACATGACCCATGAGCTTTAACCGATTTATTCTTATGAATATGCTGGAATCGACTATTTAGTCGATCTCCTTTAATATCGGCTCTCAGAGCCGCACATTCAGGACTGTCTGGCAACACCGGCATGTTCCGCCCTAAATTACTGATAAACTTTCTCTCCTTGTCAATTACAGGGTCAAATTGACTGGCACGTCTCGGGATGAGTGCGCAGGATCGACCACCCCTGCGCTGAATCTAGGTGGATCTTCAGCTCCATCGAGCGGACCCTTTCGGCTTGCTCGTGTGCCCTTGGCATAGGACAAAAATTCTGTGTCGACAAACACTACATCTACGTTTTCGCACGATCGGTTGCAATTAGGTGTATATAGGACGCGGTGCATGTCATGGTTACGTTAGAGTTACGATGCTCACGTAAAAATTGATCGAACTTCGCTAGAACGCATTGAACCGTGTCGTTGGCGCTCTGTTCATGAACCCGCACCTGTAGCGAGCGATCTCAACCGCTCATCTCAACTACCTCGCCCGCTCGCTCTCGGTCGTTCAATCTGCATACCCGAATTACTGCTGCCGCATACTGCCTTCACCCTGCTTTTTCTCTTTCTCGGTCTCTCCTTGTCCTTGCCTGCCTCTGCCTGCCTCTGCTGTCTGCCTCTGCTGTCCGCCTCTGTCTTGTCTCTGCCCGCTTCTGCCGAGCCAAGCACCCGACATGGCTGCGCTTGCTTGCCGTCGTGCTTTTTTTCAGCAGCAAGACGTTGCGCATGAGCCTTGTGAGGCTGGCCTGACTGGACCATGCCCTAGCTCTGCCGCCTCCCCGCTCTCTCTCTCTGCTTGCCTCCCACTGTTTGGGCCACCATCGTTGCGCCTCCCACCCGCCCGTCCCCCCTCACGAACGAGCAGAGCGCTGTGGAGCTCCACAGGCGCTACCTTACCTCCGAAGCGCCTCCTCCACCGACCCAGGCTTGCTGTTGTGTGTCGGCGCTGGCCGACGCCGTGCCGTGCACGCCGCCATTGTCGTCGTCGCGACCGGGCCATCCCTCATCGCTGATGCTCACCGCGAGTGCTCCACCAGCAACGCCGGTCGAGCTGTTGCCGCCCACGCGTGCGGACGGCGCCGCCGATGCCCCACATGTCGTCCCGCCGTCCCCGCCTAGCCGGCACCGCCGCAGCCGGCATGCCCGCCACCACAGCTCATGCGGGCAAGCTGCCGAGGGCTGGCTCAGGTCTTGTCGTGGTATACTCGAGGTCGCATGTAACTCCGTGCACCTCGCCGGCGGGCTTCCCGCCGTCATCGTGCCTTCCCGGGTCGGGATTGATCGCCGGCCGATGCTCCTCTGCCTCGCCCATTGAAGATGACGGGTGAGAAATTGAAATAGGGAATGTTTTAGGGTTCCAAACGCTAATTGCGTGACTCTAATGAATAGTGCATGCTAGACTGTTGATCGGTTTGGCAAAACTACAAGGTCCTTTCTACAAAAATGCGCGCTTATGCCCGGGCCACGCCGCGTGGGCTGGCCTATTGGGCCGCTCACCCTGCGCCTCCGCGGCCACGGCCTGCTCAGCGCCGCACCTAGGCCAGCCTTGTGTCGCCCGCGCCTCGGCGGCGTGGGCGCGTTGTGCGTTTGGGCCGCGCGTCTGCGTGGGCCGATTTGGTGGTCGCTGGCCCTTTTAGTTTTCTAAAGCAATTGTTAATTTAATTTCAGAAATAAACTTGTAAAATCAATATAAATTTGTGTAGTTGTCCAAAAATTATGAAACCAATTTTGCTAAGTTCCTAAAATCATGATCTATCTATTAGCGTAATTGGTTCATCTAGTTTTAAAATGTTTCTAGGGTTGCCCTAATTATTTTAAAATGTTTAGTATTGTTAAAATGTAACTTGTAGGAATTTCCGTGATAAATTGGTGATAGTGTTGACTCTAAAAATTTTATAGTAAAGTACTAATATTATTAGCTACTGACTGTAAATTTTATAGCTCTAGAATAATTAGTTTGCTAGATAGATAATGATGACATATTTTGAATAAAGATTAAACCGATAGAATGGAATAACGAAGCAACTAGGTTTGTATAACTAAAACACTTGTTGGGAAACGACACCTTTCTTGACGATATTGATGCATAGAATAGTACGTTAGTCATTAGAGCTAGCTTGTTAGTTCGTAGTATGTACTCTATTTTAAGAGTTGTTGTTGCCTTGTTAATTATCTGTTGCATCATTTGCATCAATACATATCATATAGGTACGATGATGGATCAACTGATCAACTGAAGGATGATTGAGAATCTGAAGATGGTGTAATGGTATTCTCTTCAGAAGATGATGCAATGGTTTTTCTATTCAGTTGATGGTGGATGATCAGAAGATGCAGATACTAACTTTTTAGTATATATCTTACCCAGAACAAGCCCCGGTGCATAACCTCTACTTTTCTGCACTTTAAGGCCCTGTTTGCTTCTCTTATAATCCGGACTTGTCAGCTTGTTTTTTCAGCCGGAACAATATTTTTCTCTCACAACAAATTAGCCAGAACAGTGTTTTGGCTTGTTTTTCAGCGAAGCGAACAGGGCCTAATTTTTTTTTGTACATTAAGTTTTAAGGAATTGAATGAAACCCACTTGCATATATAAATCTTTATCCTATGAGTCTTACTAGTATGATAGGATCGTGTAGATTGTTATGCTATAGGACTTCGATAGAAGTTGAGTGATTGCCTGTCACTCACGAGAGATAGGAAATATATTATTGTTGTTACTATATTATTATCACTCATGATAAAATAGTGGAAAGGAAAAAATAGAGACCGGACAGGGATATGGTTTGGGTATTGGTGGGTGTAAGAGGTTGTGTCCTGCGACCAACGGGACATAGCTTGGTTACACTATTTTTCCTGTCTGTGTCGGTTAAGGACCGGCCGTTGTATTGGACGTTAGGCAAGTCACAGACTTATTATCCCGAGCACATACTTGAGTATGGGCGCAGGGAAGACTTGATACTCTCTTGTCATGGGTTCCGGCTTTTTCCGGACCAACTTTCATAATGGTTTTTGGGTGGAGGTCTTTACACCGCTCTGAGTCTGGGACTCAGGAGCGGGGGCTTAGAGTCTAAGTTTGGACGGAGACCTGAGCCCGTGACAGGAGGGTAGTGGGTTGATCCTGCTTGTGCCTGGGGTACAAGCGGGACATGTGTTTCAGGGTACCCAGCTGGGCTCATTGATTCACGAATCGCCACCGTATCGGTACGACTTGTCTAAACTCTAGCATCGTAGTAAGAACTAGAAGATGAAAGATGGTAAACATGATTCTGATTGCTTACCACCTGCTTAAAAGTAGCACGGGTGCTTACATAGAATGGCTAGTTAATGAACTAATGATGACTGCTAATAAAATCGAATATAAGGACACACGTTTAGTAATGCTCCTGCAGATGCTATCAACCCACAAGCCAGATAGCCTTGTATATCCTTAGAGTCTTTTTCTTTTCTCCTGACGGGTAAGTCTTGTTGAGTACAATTGAGTACTCAGGGTTTTATTTCCCCTTGTTGCAGATGACAGGTGGATGCTAGAGCTGACCCTTGTGCGTGGATTCCTCCTGGTGGGCTCAGAGAAGATTCATTTATGCTGCGATCATAGTTTTATTTATAACTCTTACTAAATATTTTTATAAATAGAAGTTCTATAATCTGTGATCATAACTTTTATACTAATGCTTCATTTTGTCGTGAATAGATATTTATTTCCGCTGTAAATCTGATCACATGTTTATATTTCGCTAATAACTTAAATTGTTCATAACTCTGATAACATGTTCATATTCCGCTATTATAAATAATAAACATTATACTCTAATGTTACATGGAAAGGGATGTAAGAAATGGTTAATAACGATGTAAGCTTTCTTCTCTCATTTGTGATCCTGATGAAAAAATGTGGATTTTTGGGTTCTCCCCTGGGGTGTGCCCGATGGGACCGTGTAATTTGATATCCTTCCTTGAGTACTTAGTGTCTAATGGAAGATAAGTACTCCTAGAGAGCATTAGATTAGACAGTTCTGCCACATCACCAGCACTTGGGCGCAACTCAAGACGATGTTCATGGATCCTATCTAGTTGCCTTGTGTGTTGCTCGCTTTTCTTTGTTTCAGATTTAAGACGTGTGGCTACTCTCATAGCGTCGTGGACGGCGGCGGCAGCACAAGCACAATCCAGTGAGCGAGACCAATCCCCTACGAGGGGTGCTAGTGTCTGCCCATCAGACGATAACAACCATCTGGCCCCTTTCTCGCCCACCCGGCCAGCAGCGCGCAATTATTTTCATGGGACATGCAGAACGCGCACGCCAGCCGACCCAATTGCGTAGTGATACGGCCCACAAACACCCACTCCAGGCTGGCTGCATGCAGAAAAATCCAAAATAGATGACATCAGCACATATATAATGCTTTTTAAGTAAAAAATCATAACTACTAAACCAAGTGTCCAAATTAAAATCCGATTGCACCATCGTATTTCTTGCAATAAATTCGTCAAAACAAGATCCCACATGGATATATTTAGATAAAATTTTATTAACGAACGTTTATGTCATTAAGATAGAACATTTTCTTTTATTGACTAGAGACAATGTTCTAGGTTCAGAGAATAATATTCCATCTTTATAAGAAAGATGTTCTCAGTTTAGAAGAATAATATTCTAGTTTTAGATTCATGGAATTGGTATTATAATATACATAAAAATAAATAAATAAATACATAACACAAAAATAAAATAATAATAAATTCTAGACTATAGAACATCACATGGATTCAAACATCCTAAAATATACTATAGAACATCACATGTATACTAAGTGAACATTACTAAGTACATCATAGAACATCACTAAATACATTATAGAACATCACATATATATTACGTGAACATCACATGTATACTATATGAACATCACAAAAAACATCGTAAAACATCGCATGTGTACTACATGAACATCACAATACATCATAGAACATCGTTGTATACTACGTGAACATTATAAAATACATCATGGAACATCACAAGTATACTAAGAGAATATAAAAAAACATCATAGAACATTGCATGTGTACTACACGAACATCACGATGCATCATAGAACATCATTTGTATACTACATGAACATTATAAATTACATCATGAAACATCATATGTATACTACATGAACATCTTAACATCTTATGGAATACAGAAATAAAAGAATAAACATGAAAAAAATTAGGGTTAAAATAGAAAAAGATAAAAGAAAAAATCTAGAAAATATGAAGACAAAAAGAGAAAAGGAAAAAGCAAAAAAAAAGAACTAAAAATATAAAAATAAAATAAAGCAAACACAATAATTATTATAATAATAACATAAAAGAAATAAAATAAATAAAAACATAAAAATGAAAAGAATAATGAAAAAGTCACATGAAATGAAAATAAAACAAAAAATAAAAAGTAAATTGAAGCATGGAATGAAAAAATAATAAGAAAAGGAAAGGAAAGGAAAGAAAAGAAAAAAGAAATAAAAAAGAAAAAGAAATAAAAGAAAGATAAAAAATATTAAAAAATGAAAATAATAATAAAAATCACATAAAACAAAAATAAAATAAAAGATAGAAAAATAAATGAAGCAGAAAAAGGAAAAGAAAAGAGAAAAGAAAAGAAAAGAATAGAAAAGAAAAAGAAAAGAAATGAGAAGAATAAAAAAAAAGAATCTAACGTACCTGGTGCTACGTGGGCCGTCGGAAACATGGTCCGTTCTCACCAGCGCCGCGGGAATTGGATTGGCACTGTTCACGGGAATATTTTTGGCGCGCTGTGATTCGGTGGAGGCTTCCGGTCCCCTGCGCCCTTCTGTCGTGGACTCGTGGTACTTGGCTACGATACGGCGGCAGCCTGGGGTCTCGCCCCAAGCCTGAGCGCGGACGCGGACGTGGCGGTTACGGCCTCCTCACGGCCGGCGACGTCCGCCGAGAAGAACAAGGCCGCAGTCCCGCAGATCCCACCGCGCGCTGCTGACCGCCAACTGCTTCCGCCCTCTTCCCAGTCTCCACGTCGGCCACGCTGCTACGAGTCTGCTGCCCTGTCTCTGCTCAGGCGGCGCCGCGGCCACGATGCAGCGGCCAGTGAGCTCTACTCCAACTGCATTCAGTTTAAATCTTACTTGTCCTGTTGGTCCACTGCCACTAGGCAGGACAATCTAACTAGGTTTATGATAAAAATATATTCTATAGTTATTGTGATGATACTTATTTAGTATCATATATAATATAATATAATATTTTTTCATACGTTTGGTCCAAGTTGAGATTGATTAACTTTTGGGGGAAAAAATAGGATTGCACTCTTTTTTGGATCCGAGTGAGTAGTCTTCATGACAGTTATTTTATGACTAATATAAGGCTGGAAATTGAGATAAGTGATCTGTTCTCTTTTCTTATTTAAAACATTAACATGTTAATGCAAATGTTTATGTGAATCATATTAATTGTATATGTCTGTGACTGGCGACATCAGTAAACTTTCTGTAACGTTCTTGTGAACGATTTTGTTAGTCTAAGAGCAACTCTAGCAAAAGCCCTTAAATCAGGACTCTTAACTTTTTGAGTGATCCTCTTATTTTCGAGGGTTTGACTTTTTGCATATGCTCCGGCAACAGCTTTCAAATAAGAGCTCTCAAATCATTTTTAATAGACATTGAGATAAGGGATCAACTCGTCATTTTCTGCTTTTCCCATCCTCAATCTCATCCAAATCAGATGACCCAAGGTACAATCGCCTGCTGGGTCCGCTCCCGCAGGGGCTCGCCTAGCCGCGGGCTCGCCGGGGGAGCCGCTCGCTGCAGGCTCAGAGGGTAGAAGCTCATCGCGGGCTCACTGGGGAGGGGAGTCAGGGACGGGTGCCGCCAGCTGATGGGCAGGCCTTGCCAAGTAGCGGCATAGGGGAGTCGCGCCGACGGCCAAGGATCACGTGGTTCTGCAAGCGCGCAGGAGGAGAAACTATCGCAACCATCATTTTAGGGCTAGCACGCCCCTAGGAATGAGGAGGGGAAGGGGATTTGAGGATCCTCTCAAATTTGAGAGTTCTAGTAGGGGTTTTGTTGGAGTTCATCTTTTTTTTTCCTCTGAGGACAAGTGCATTGATGTTGTCTCATACAATGCCACGTAATTATAAGGTTATTAAACAATCAACTCATACAACAGGTTACCTTTTAAGTTGTCTTGTAGTAATTTAATTATCTTTAATTTGTGCAATCAACAAAAGGAAAGTTTGTGAACCGTGAGTTGCATGAAAACACTAAACGTTCAATGATGAAATAGTTGTATTCGTAGTCTTAAATTTTTGTTCATGAGGTGATTGTCTCAACAAGACAACCACCTCTTTCTCTCACCTTTCTCTCTCTCCGGCATTGCATGAGACGGTCTTTGAGACTACTAATATATAGCAATGTAACTGTTCTGAGCTCTTAAAAGTAAGATGAGGGCTTAAGTAATCACACGCTGGAGTTCTCTGACCCAATGTTGAGGCCAGCGGTGTGCCGCTGTGTATGGGCAATAATGGTGTAAATAATTGTCATCTATGCCTAATCAAAGAGTAACCATGTACAACGCCGCCGACTAGCCTGGCTTCGTTTGGAGTCTGGAAGGGGGAGCGGGCTGGCGGCCAGCGAAGTTTCCCTTTGCAGTTGCAAGCCAGCGGGGCCAGAAGCTCAGTGTGCGTCGCCCGCTGCTGCAGTTTTGTCGTGCCCTGGCCCCTACTATGGAATAACGGAACCAGGCACCGGTGGGCCCAGTCTCCGGTGCCTTTGTTCCCATGTTGACCGCGCCATCGCATCAAACTGACTCACCCCAGTCACCCCCATCTCCGGTCTCCCGGCCAGGTGGGCATCGGCCTCTCCGACTCTTCGTTCTTTCGCCCGCAACCCATCTCGGAACCCTCCTCCCCCCGCGTTCAGTTTGATCCAGGAGGAAGGGAACGGGGAGCCGGCCGCCATGGTGAAGGACAGCGCGTACTACGACGTCCTGGAGATCAGCACTGACGCCTCCGTGGCCCAGATCAAGAAGGCCTATTACCTCAAGGTGCGTGCGTGGCTATCCCCCTCCCGGCCTCCCTTGATCAACGACGACGGTGGTTATTTTCGCGCAGACTGTTCCGGTTTCGTGATTTGAATCTGTTGGCCTTGTTTCGGGTTTCTGAAGGCCAAGCTGGTGCACCCGGACAAGAATCCGGGCAACCCTGATGCCGCGCGCAAGTTTCAGGTACATATTCATGTTCTGCTCTATCTACTACTTCCTGCGGATTTTGCTAGTTGCATTTTGGGTGCAGCAGAGGGATAAGAGTGGAATGGCTGTAGAATTTCCTTTGTCCACTGGCAGATATAGCAATGGGGGTCAAAAACTCAAAACCCACAAAGACGGTCACCGTGCAATTGTGTTTTGCTTCTGATTGCATCCTATTTGGCCAGAGAATTCGCATCGGTGTTGCAATAGTGTGCAAAAGCTAAACTGTAAACACGACATTGTCATAAACTTAGTTGTGTACAGGAATGATTTTCTCGTATCTCTTATTGCAAAATCTTAATCAGTTGTCCTGTAGATGGTTACCTTGCTACGAACACTGATTTGAATTTGGTTACCTCTTACAAGGAACTAGGCGAAGCCTATCAGGTCCTAAGTGATCCGGTGAAAAAGGAGTCTTACGATAAGTATGGAAAGGAAGGACTTCCGCAGTAAGTTCTGAATTTATTTAAGCCTATCCTATCTTCAAACGCTAGTTTCTGAAACATAGGATGCCACAGATGCTCTGAGCTTTATTTTGGATGTTAGTACATTTACGTTATAGTAGCTACCATATCACTGATAGTTAGTCACTAAAATTCTTGCAATGATATTCCAGAGATAATATGATTGATCCAACGGCTGTCTTTGGAATGCTTTTCGGGAGCGACTATTTCGAAGATTATGTTGGCCAACTTGCGCTAGCATCTGTTGCCTCAGTAGAGATTGAGGAAGAATCAACCGCACCTGAGGCAAGGACAAGGATTCAAGAGAAGATAAAGGTACGCTGCTCCTGTAATAAGTTTTACTAACACCAATCTCCTCAGGCTCTAAATTTACCTACACCCCGGTGGGACAGACCACCCCATGGTTTTGCTTTAATAAGGGTCTAAATAACTTCATGGTCTAGAAAAATCTCCTCAGGCTTGGGAGTTGATGTTCTAAGTGTAGACCTTTTATAATCTCATTGGTTTCAGGACGTGCAAACCGAAAGAGAGCAAATACTTACTCAGAGCCTAAAGCATCGGCTGCAACCATATGTTGATGGGAAGCAAGATGAGTTTGGTGATTGGGCAAATGCAGAAGCTCAGCGTTTGTCTCAAGCTGGTAAGGTCTAAGAACCTCACTTTTCATCTCCATATTCAGTCATTTACTCGCTAGTAGTATAGGTTCAGCTTTGCTGCTACACAGAGCCACTTCTTAATGCTATTTTCATGATGAGCGTAAACTGTTGAATTTCATTTCTTCATACCTCTGTTGCATTTAAAATACTTATACCTCCAGATTCTGCAACTATCGTAATGTGGCATCCATAAGGTTCATTTGTGTCCTTTATTTAGGTTTGAACATTATAAATATTTTATTTACTGATGTTTTTATGTGTGGTTTACTTATATAAATCTTTTTTCAGCTTTTGGTGAGGCTATGCTTCACACTATTGGCTACATCTATGTTCGGCAAGCAGCAAGAGAACTTGGAAAAAGCAAATTGTATATGGGTGTACCTTTCATTGCTGAGTGGGTAAGGGACAAGGGCCATCACGTAAAATCACAGGTTAATGCTGCTGCAGGTAAATCTGAGGACAATAAGTCAATAACTACCCCCTTTTTTTAATTAACGATGGCCCGATTCTTCAGTGACTTATATCCTCCTACTATAGGTGCAATTTCTCTGATACAGCTACAAGAAGGGATAAAAAAGATTGAAGAGGGTGACAACAAGGAAGAGCAGCTTATTAAGAGTATCGAAGAAAAAAAGGATGCGATGCTCAATTCTTTATGGAAAATTAATGTGGTCGATATTGAGGCAACGCTTTCACGGGTCTGCCAAGCAGTAAGCACTTAATTGCTTCGTTTAAATTTATCATGCATGTATATTTATATCTTCTTTAATATGAATATTCAATTAGGAAAATGAAGTCTGGCACTCCATGTTTAATTTCTGTTTTCACCCTTTTCTCCAGGTTTTGAGAGAAAATGATATTCCCAGAGACATACTGAAGTTGAGGGCAAGAGGACTGAAAAAGCTAGGGACGATATTTCAAGTAAGTTTTCTTTTAGTCTTTGAGTAATCCAGTTACTTTGTCAGGGGCAGAGACGATTTGATGAAACCCTAAGGAGAAGCACACATTAATCTTTCATCTCTTATGTGCATATCATTATATTACCATCTCTATGGCTCATCAGGAATGAAGTATGCTACATCATTTTGTTTGAGTAAATTGCATTATAAACACCAAATATTGAATCCGGTGTCAATGTATTGTCAGTACTAAAATCATATACTCTAATACAGAATCCTTTCTCGCTGAAGTTATTCTATGCACCCACTTTCAGGGCTCTTTGAAATGAGGCATAATTTGTTGTCACACGACCTATTCATCATGCAAATTAATTTGGACCACGTTTTTTTTTTACCAATTAGGTATTAGGTATGAAAGCTATTTTTATTGACAATATTTGAGCAATTTCATAAACTCCAGAACAAATTTAGACATAATTTTTTGCCTTTGTTTGCTGAATGTACCACTAGTGTCAGAAAAACACATCTAGAAACTCTTGAAAGGTCCTTCAGCTCCCTCTTGCTGGGGCATCAGCCTTTTGTTGATTTTAATTTTTGAAATTAACTTGCATGTTTCAGTCTGTTATTTTTCTCTCCTTCACCTTGCCGGCCGCTATCCGAACTGCCGAGATGTTTAAATTAACTTACATGCTTCTAATGTTCAGTCTGCCTTTATTAGACTAGATGCTTGCTGCTTTCACTTATCAGTTGTTCTTGTTTGTATCCCTTAGCTGTGAGTGCTACTTCAATCGTGAGTAATTTCATGTCATTCCAGTTTAACCAGGTAACGAAGTTGTAATGAGTAATTTATCCGTCGTGAAATCAGGGCGCAAAATCAAACTACCGTCGTGAAAACAGCCTGCGTTTTGAAGATGATGCTGCAGAAGCCACACCGTCGCACTGAGGATGGTGGACAAATCTGGATACGATATCATATACTGCGTCAGCGTCACCGACTCACCGAGACTGAGCCCGAAAGCCGACCACTGTGGAAGGAGACAACAATGCTGTTTCCAAAGATTTTTGTACGGTATAACCGCAAGGTATTGCTACCTTGTCGATACCATGCCATACTGTATCGCTGTCCTGCACTGCAAATAGTATTGTTTTGGACGAAAATTAGTAAATATTTGGAGTCACAATGTGATGCATAATGATTTAAGCGCATGCTCATCGACTTTGGATGTCATTTACGATCTGACTCAGATCCTGATGTATCTTTAAAAAATGAGAATAAAGTAAAAGAGTGAAAAAGTTCTAAACACTTAGATTTTAGAATGAGATACTGCAATCTAATTGTCTAGATAAACCCTACTACTTAGAAATCTGGAAAAAAAATTCAAAAATCAAATATCCTTTATTTTTTGTTCGGAATTTAGACTTAATTTTTTATATAGAATCATTATTAAAACGGAAAGAGTAGCGCTCGGACGTCTCAAAGGTTGCGCGCGTCCGGACGTCCGCGCATGCTCCGCCCTGGTCTCTCGGATTCGTGCGCCGCCCACGCCAGCTCTACTTTCCGTGCCCGTGTTCGGACCGCTCCATTCCGCTCCGCTGCCCACGCCGTCCGGATGGCTCGGCCCCATTTCTTCCATATCGGCGCCTCGTCCGTCTCTTCCACACCGCTTCGCGCCCACCTCTTCCATACCGCTTGGATGACTCCCCTGCCTCTTCCACACCGACTCTATGCGGCCTACGCCTCCTCCCCACATCGACGCCGCCATGGCTATGAAACAATTGCAATATACATTCGAAAAAGATGAAACATTGGAACATACATTTTCAACATATGCAACATATAGATAAAACACTTGCAGCATGCGTCTGAAACAGATGAAATATTTTGAACAAACTCTTACAACATACGTGTATAACTATTGCAACATCCGAGAACTACTATTGCAACGTACATATAAAACATTTGAAACGCTTTAAACATGTGTTTTGTAACATACGGAAGGCTGGGGCCGGTTAATTCTGAGCGTCGGGGTGGGAGCCGGCGGCGCGCGAGCACCACCATTGTCACCACCAGTAGCACCAGCCTTGGATCAGCCGAGTAGGCGGTGCGCGCGACGAGTGGGAACAGGCTGCGCCTGCGACGGGAGGGAGGGAGCGAGGCGGAGTGCGGCGGGGGTGCACGACGCACGACGCAGGGTTAGACGCGCGGTGTGCAGCGCAGATAAGCGGCGCGGGTGGGTCGGTCTGACGGACACCCGTGGGCGTATCATTATCGTTATTAAAAATATGAGACTGAAACCAGAAATGGCACTGGACTTGATAACGTACTCCTACTCGGCTACTCCCTTTCATTCGCCTTCGCCTGGAACGTTCAGAGCGAACCAACGTGGCACGCCCGTGACACGCGCCGTTCTCTCGTCATGCGTTGCCTCCCTATGTGGCTGCATGCGTGCGCGAGTGTCCTCCTGCGCATGCCATCCCTATCACCCGGCTCCCGTTACATATACTAGACACGAGCGCATTGGTTTCGCCTCCATTCCCATCCGCTACAGCTAGCCACCAGACAACAGTCACCGGCACGCAGACGCTCAGCAAGCCAAGAGGGTATTGTCGCTCAGCAAGAGGGGGCAAACAATGGCGGAGTACCAGGGGGAGTACGGGCACCCGTACCCGCGCGTCGACCAGTACGGCAACCCCGTGCCGCCGGTGGACCAGTACGGCAACCCCGTGCCGAGGGAGCCACCAGCGTCCGGTTTGGGCAGCACCGCTGATCCCCCCTACAGCGCTGGCGACACTGTCGCGGTGCACGTGACGGCGCTCGCGTACGAGGGCATGGTCGGTGGCGGCGTGGGAGGCGCCCAACTCCAGCCGACCAGGGAGGAGCACACGTTTGGCCCGGGCGCGCAGCTCCAGCCGACCAAGGAAGAGCACACGACGACACTCGGCGAGAAGCTGAGGCGCTCCGGCAGCTCCAGCTCCAGCTCGGTAATAATAGCATGCTGTACTTGTTAGCCATCGAGCATGTTTTCATGGGCTGCAGATTATTGTTGGTGGCGTTCTGACTGATGTCATTTGACGACGGCAGTCCTCCGAGGACGACGGGCAAGGTGGGCGCCGTAAGAAGAAGAAGAGCATCAAGGAGAAGATAAAGGAGAAGCTCCCAGGCAGCCACAAGCACGAGGAGCAGAAGGCTGGGCACGTGGCGCCGGCGGCGACGGCGACGGGGACGCATGCAGCGGGGACGCACGAGAAGAAGGGTTTCATGGAGAAGATCAAGGAGAAGCTGCCGAGACACCACCGCTGAGCGTGAACGTGCACCTCAGTTGAGGACTCGTTGGACTTTTGAGGTGTCTGGAATCGTGTGTCTCATGCACACGTACGTCGCTGTGTATTGTGTACGACATATGTGTCTACGTACCTCCTCCGTTTAGGTTTGGTTCAGACTCAGAGTTATGTTGGGCTCGTGTTTGTGTGTGTAGTCATCGGTATGTTGGCTCTTGCGACCGTCAATTAGTCTTATCTCGTATTATGAACTGAATTTTGCTTGCATTGCACCAAAGCGCCACTTGCCTAAGCAGAGTAATTAGAGGCTGGAAACTTCAGAGGCGTGACCGCAATGGGACGATGACGGGCGAAGTCCGCTCATCGCGAACTTGAAGGAAACGGCACGGGTCCACAATCCACGAGCCCGTGCCGTGGCGCACGACGGCACACGAGCTGAGTGGGCCGAGAACGGTGCCGGGTGGCGGAATGGCGGCCTTCGGCACCACGATTGGGCTGGCGGATTATGGGCATCCTCCGGGCTCCGGTAGAGCGAGAGAACCTCACGGCCCAGGCGGCGACAGCGGCGCGTGCGCCTGCTTCGCTGTTGCGCAGCTCGTACATAGCAGCGAGAGCGAGTGTAGCTGTTGCTGCTGTACCGCCCAACAGCGTGATCAAATCCAAGAGAATCGCCTCCTTCCTCGACATGTGCTGAACTGCTGATACGCTGTGCAAGCAGCCCCCGGTTACAATGAGACGCCTGGTCGCCGCTTCAGGACCATGCATTGGCATCCATGTCGCGCCAACCCCAAGCGCCAGTACGGCGGCAGAACAGCGGGGGGGCAGGCCCTGTCGCGCATTCAACCCCAAGAGCAAGAGACAGCAGAGCAGGATGAGCCGCCTCGGCCCCTCGCTCGCGGCGTGGACATCGCTCTTCGCCTCTTCGCCGTCGCGCGCCACTGTTTTGGGGCACCGAATGGGCCGATCGAGGCCGAACTGTGCCCCCCAAATCATTGACTCTTCGTGCTGTCCCGATCTCTCGTCGGAATGCTCTGTAGTCTGCCCCCCACCGGCTGGCCCCTCGATTGATTGCTAATGACTGGGACTGCCAGTGCAAGACAGATCAGCTGGCTCGGATGCTTTGGCTTGCTCATCTCGTAATTTTTCTACACGTATGCTGGCTTTGGCTTGCTCATCTCGTAATTGGTCAGTGACATGCGTGTAAAAGGAGAGCTGGAGGCCTCTTGTTCTTGTCATGCCTCATGCCTGTAATGTTCCTGTACGCCTCTATCTGCAGCTCTGGCAAGGACAGCGTCGGCGTGGGGTTGATGACTGTAGTACGCTCTGGCGTGCTACTTGAGCTGTACGGTATTGTTGAAGATCCTTGCCTATTCGCTTGACTGATAAACCATGGTTGAAAGTACTGTTGACTAATTTATTATTAGAGAAAAATACTATTTATTAGCTAAAAAAATACGACTTATAAGTCAAGCGAACAGGACCCCTCTGTTATGACAGCCTTTATGGCCGTCCCGTTGGGATCGGAAACATGATGCCCACGATGTTCCTGGCCACCCTCCTACGTTCAGTGCTTGTGTCGCTACCTGCGGTTAGATTCTGACGTCAAGCAAGCAACGCCATCACCATAACTCCGTCCGTCCGACAAACTTGACGGACTCACATCGTGTCGTGTCCAATGTCATGGCCCATCGATTGCTACCAATTTAAATTGAGAAATTTATCTGCATGACACTAAGGCCACGTATAGCTGCTGTCTCTGCCATATCAAATTTGTAAAAGCACCCCCGCCCACTTCATTTCATTCCTAAATTATGGGGATCAGAGAGGATTGAGGACAATTTTAGCTTGTAGGGGATTTAAATCCCCCTCAATTCCTCCCAGCCCTCTTGGTTTAGGGGCACAAAGAATAGGGTCTGCACATAGAAAAAGGGTGAATTCCTCACCCCACTAGGTGACAGGAAGGCTCGTGCTCTCATGCAGTTGCCTGCTGGGGAGCGTCTTGTATAAAGTGTCTCGAGTCAACACCATGTGAGGATTCAGTTGCAGGTACGCGCACTATGAATCTTGCGCATCAAAATCCATCCTTGTCTCCACATGTGGCTTCTGGGGTCTCCACCACCTTTCCTAGCCCGAGATGTCTAGCGCAACAGCACCGCACCGGCTAAGAAGAGCAAGGTCACAGCGTCAGCTAGGAAGAGCAACAGCTCGATGGCAGTGGTGGACTGCACCTTTGGTCACGGCAACGGCGATGCCGCAGCACCCCTCCATCATGGAAGCAGATCGGCGGTGGCACTCGTCCTCGGTGGTCGTGGTAATGGTGCAATGCCAAAACCCAACTTCGGCGGTCTCGGCAATGGGGCGACGGTTGTGGCTACCTCCATGGATGAATCTAGCGAGTTCGATGCATCCCAATCGATGGCAGACGAGGCTACCCAAGTGCTATAGGTAGGATTTAGATGGCTAGAGGAGGGGGTTGAATAGCCTAAAAAAATTATTCTACAAAATCACAACACTAGAGAAAAGGTGATTAGTATAACAAATGATCATAATAGTCACTACTTACTCTAGCTCTACAACAACCAAGCAAGCCGGTACACAATTCTAGTAGCAAGTGATTTCTAGTCTAAATTACAACACCACACGAGCTACTAACTACACTAAGCAATTCTAGGCCTCTAGCTAGCTAAACTAGTGAGACACTAAGAACTAGCTACTCTACAACTAAAACTACAACTAACTAGAGATCTACTATACCAAATAACTACCACACAAGTGATAGATATGAATGTAAATGTAAGTGAGAGTATTAGTAGCAAACCAACAAGGGCAAGTGATTAACACAACTATTTACCCCTGTGGTATGTTGCTTCTTGGCGATCTACGTCCATGTTGTGGCGAGTCTCAAAATAATGATCCGTCGCGCTAACTAACATGAAAAGCTAGGCCCACAACTTGGGTGCCACGAGAATCAATCAAATGGTGCACTCCAAATAAGCCATGAGCATGGTGGTTCTGAGTTCCCTCCTTATCTTCTTTGGCATGGTGTGATGCGGCCGGCGGTGCTAGTTAGATGTCTCCTGGTGTCTTGAAAGTCTGGCTATCCTTCTAGGGAGGCAAGAGAAGGTCGCTTTCTGTTCTTTGTTCTACTATATTCAATGTTAATACTCCTGCCAGTTATAGGCGAACATACTTCCTTGAGACAAGTATACATATCTACAATGTTGAAATATTAAGCCAATGAAAAATTGTTGGGAAAGTGGAACCTATATGTGTACATGAAAAAAAATCTTCATGACCCTCCCTCCTCCAAGAAAAATCAAATTCATGGCTTGTACTACTCCCCTAAATTTCCCATTTAAATAAGACAAGGACTACACCAACGTCCTTACATCCACCTGCTAGTCCATCTAGTCTCGTGACTTGTTGCCATGCATGAGAAATATGGGTGCCCCGATGGATCAGCAAAGGTTGTTCACGTCTTTCTTTAATTGCACTCGTCCTCTCTCTTTCTCTCCCAACACGACTGAGTTATACTACTACATCATTCAGTGTCATGGCAGCGGTGAATGCATTATTAGGACCTTTTCGCAAAAGCAGCGTGTTGGAGGGGAAATTAGACTTCTCCTAGATGCTAACCGCAGCATTAACACCACCACGAAATTGTTGTCCAGAAAAGCATTATTACACGTAAACAAAGTAATTGCAGTTAAGAAATTGTTGTCCAAAAATGCTCCTAGATAGTGGCGTTGGATTTTTTTTTTCGATTTTCTCAGTTGTCCTAGAAAAAATTGAAGCCAAAAACTGACTTTTTTTGGAGAATATTTGAAGTATTTTTTTTTTGAAATTTGAACCAAATTTCAATTGGACTAGTTTCTTTTGAACGGTATATTGTTCGGTGCAGTGCCAGCATTCATGCCCTAGCGCCCTTTCTAGGAAAAGTGACATTTGGGAGGAAAGTTAGATTACAAGCTAACAGCAGCATTAACAATGCCACAAAATTGATGTTCGTGGAAAAAATATAAAGCATCTGTACTCGTAAATAAATAATTGAAATTGACTGGCATGTCCGATTCTCAACATGTTCGGTTGGCTGGTTCGTATCGTTGCTGGTTCGTGAAAGAAGTACTGCTGGCTGGTTTGTGTGAGAGAAAAATATTATTCCAACTGAAAATTTACGATCGTTTACAACAAGCCACAGCCAAACGAACACGCTAGCGGTGCAGCTTTCTTCCTCATTGTTTTCGTAAGACACAAATCAAGGAAAGCTGAAAACATGATGGCGACCTGCCTAAGCAATTAGTGAGAACCTTCTCTTTTCTTCTTCAGAACTGGAATACACAAGGCAAAACTAGTATAGTGTTTTTTTGGTAGTAGTAAACATAGCCAATAGTCAGTGAACTGAGTACAGAAAGTAAGAAATGTATTCTTACAAAACCTTAATATATAGCTACTACACAGTGTTTACACTCATTTGTATATATATATATATATATATATATATATATATATATATATGTATATATGCCTTTATTTTAGACAGAGAAAACATAAAAACAAAGAAGAGCAAAACATTGTTAAGGAGGAGTGAGGACGACTAGAGGAAATTAACAAAGCACTGTCTCTAAGCTCCCAATTGTTCCGTGTGAAATGCCTTTAATAATACAGTGTATATATACGGTAATTATATAGTATATTGCTGAAATTCGCAAACTGAACCTTCAGAAGAACTCGAGGTTGAACTCGCCGACCACGGCGCCCCGGCTGATGTCGAAGTCGAAATGCGGCAGGCTCTGCTCCTGCTGCCCGTGGCAGGGCAGCAGGAACTTGTGCTCCTCGAGCGATTGCTCCTCGCCGCCGCCGTAGCCGGCGAAGGGGGGAGTGGCCTTGCTCTCGGAGGCCCAGTGCAGCGTCGCGTCGCCGCCGTCGAGCGCATTGTTCGTCTCCGGCGCGCAGTTCCAGTTGCTGCTGTTGCTGGAGCTCTCGCCGTAGCCCAGGTTCTCCGAAACGTCCAGCACGCTGCTGTAGTCCACGAACGCGGCCGCGTCCTGCTTGCCGCCGCCGCCCATGTGGCCATACAATGCGGCGCCAGCCGCGTCGAAGCCGCCGCCGAAGCTGTCGGTCAGCGGGAACGGGTCGAACACCTGCTGGTGCTGGTGCTTGATGTCGAAGCCGCCATCTACGTCGGTTGTGGCCAACGGCTTGCGCTCTTGCGACGCCGGCTGCTCCAATGCCGCCGCGTTGGCGGAAATGGGCTTGTGGGTGCTGGGGTCGATGCCGCGCTGGCGCAGCTTCTTCTTGAGGCAGCTGTTCCAGAAGTTCTTGATCTCGTTGTCCGTCCGGCCCGGCAAGTGAGACGCGATCTGCGACCACCTGCATCCGCAAAAATACATTGACGCCGCCCATGAGAAGAGTGTCGCCGAACAAACATTGCGAAATTAATCCGAAACGCATTGTGTGTACCTGTTCCCCAGGATCTCGTGGAGGCCGACGATGGCGTCCTCCTCCTGCTGCGAGAAGCTGCCGCGCTTCAGGTCGGGGCGCAGGTAGTTGATCCACCGAAGTCGGCAGCTCTTGCCGCACCTCTGCAGCCCTGTATGTAGCACGCACCGGAATCAATGGCGGACGACGGCCAGCGAGACAGAAGCAGCAGCAAGATGCATGGATGATGGATAGCTAGAGGCGGCAGGCGCTTGCGTGCGTTCATGCCTGCAAGCTTGGGCACGGAGCTCCAGCACCCGACGCCGTAGCGGATGATGTGGTTGTAGAGCTTCTCGTCTTCCTCGGGCGACCAGAGGCCCTTGCGCAGCTTCTGCTGCACGCCGCCGCCGGAGGCCGCGTCGCGTCCCATTCCCGCTCCTGCTCCTGCTCCTGCTCCCCCGCACGCGTCCGCCTCCGCCCGACACGGGCGCGGCCGATGGCGAGGGAAGGAAGCAAGGAAGGAAGGAGCAACGAACGATCTGGATAGCTGATGAGCAGCTACCTAGTCCGTCGTCGGTATGCGCGCGCGTCACTGCCTGTGCATCTCTATCCGCCGAGAGCGGCCGGGGGTATATATGGGGTAGCGTGCCGAGAACTGCGCAAGTACGGGGAGGGCCGGCCCGGGAGACGACGCAGCGATCAAGTGGGTTCGAAGCAAGCCGATCGAGCAGAGAGATAGAGAGAGAGAGAGAGAGAGAGAGTTGCAGTTGCAGTTGCAGTGGATTGGAGCTTAAGATACTCCGGTTCGTGGGAGAAGGTGGGGTTAAAAATGGCGCTCTGTGCGCGCGGGGAGGCAGGAGAGACTTTCCCGAGACGACTGAGACAGACTCACAGAGCATGCAATGGAGTTCCTAGTGAACAGAACAGAGAAGAGAGCAACAGGGAGCTCGCTCGCTCGCTGGGTCGCACGTTGTGGGCCACGCCGACAGGGAAAGGAAAAGACAGAGGAAAAAAGCTGGGGTTGGTTGAGGATATGACCAAGATTTTTTGCCTTCACGGCACACGGTTTATGTGGCACGGTACCATCATTAAACTCCCTCGTCAGGGAGCTCGGAAAAACGCAACACCTGTACGTGCCCGTTCCATGCATCTCGCCACTCACTACCCACAGTCGCACCAGCAAGCTAATAACTCATCCGGTTGCCACGTCGGTCGTGCCCCAGCCGCTCTTACGACGTCCGTACGCCGCCAGCAGCGTTTCAACGCGGCCGCGCCGGGGGTGCGCACGCTGCGCTAGGCAGACGTGGATCGTGCCCAACGATGCATCGATCCCATTCTTGGGTTGCCGACTGTCGCGTCCCATTCTGGTCGAGCGGAATCTTTAACTGGCCGGCCGGTCGACGTCGTCTTCAGCCGTGTAAAAAACAGAGCCGTTTTTCACCGAACGGGATCACTGTCTCCCCGATCCCGATCCCGATCCCGATGCTGATGCTGTGCGGTGCAGCCGCCGACAGTATCGGCTGTGGCGTCGGGCGTCGGCCCCGCCCCGCGCACAGCGTCGGTCCACCGGCCGGGACGGCCGAACAGCAAAAAAACGCTGTCGGTTTGGTATCCCGGCAATTATTTAAGACGTGTACTGTCCACGGAATATCGTCGGCAGTTTTTCAAGAGGTATCTCACGAAGGTAGATTGATCGACAGAGGTACGCGTAATAAAAACAAGAAGACAACAGAGACACAAGAGTTAGGTTCGGGCCATCAGCACGACGTAATACCCTACTCCTATGGTCCGGTTGGTTTGTATTGGCTATCGTATGATATTGCGTATATTTTGAAGGAGTCCCCTACCCGCCTTATATAACTGGAGATAGGGTTACAAGTCGGTTAGATATAGGAGATAACCAGTAATTAATAACAGGTTACAGGAATCACGGGATCAAGCATATCCTAACAGATCTCATAGCATCTTTATGATATCACCCTTGATGTCTTGCGGTACACGCCGAGCAGAACCGTGCACCGTAAGTCTTCGTCTTGTGGGTAGGACCACCCCTGGTGGCGCAGCCCACGTAGTCTGCCGTGGGTACCGGGGTCGTACCCCCACAGCTAGTCCCCGAGCGCCTTATATCCGCTGGGCAATGTTGTCTTAAGCTTATCCGAGCAGGTGTAAACAAAGTCGAGCAATCAGACTCATAGTCCGACCATCCTAATGAGTCGTCGAGCAGTTGTGGACCGTAACCGACCAGCTTAACTGTCCGGCCAAGCCCAGGCTTATCCAAGTAAGGCTTGCCAGAAGGATGTAAGGAGTTCAAGTTCAAAATCAAAAATTTGGAACTAAGTGTGCCCACTTAGAGTCCGACCACGAGAAAGAGAGATAATCTTCTTCACTTCGAGAGGCACGGAGTCTTCCAATGAACAGATTAAAGAAAACACATTCACCGCAAGGTGAAGTGTGCCCACTTAGTCCCCGAGCCTGACAGTAGGTGACGTGGTCACGTGGTGTCAAGGTCCAGAAAGTAGAAGAAAGACAGAAGACCAGCCGAGCAGGCAACCAGTCCACGGGCTGAGCCCTGAAATGAAAAGCGCACATTCACCGCAAGGTGAAGTGTGCCCACTTAGTACTCGAGCCTGACAGTAGGTGACGTTGTCACGTGGTGCCAGGGTCAGAAACAGCAGTAACCAGAAAAAAGTCTCCAGTATGGTGAGAAACCGAATCATAATGATGACTTAGTCCCCGAGCCACAAGTGAAAATCTCGGATAAATCAAGAAGTGTCGATTACTCAAATAGTGGAGAAAAAACCAGAGTAATGACTGTACAGTAGAAATTATTGAGCCTTGATGGTATTGCGGAGAGGTCGGCGAATATTCGGTGTGCAATACCGAGTTACGTCGAAAATGAGCGATATGGGCCATAATTGTGCGGAAACCTAGGTAACGGCCCATCACGCCGCTTTGGAGAATTTGGAAGGGCGCAAATCAGCATGGTGCGGTTTCCAAAAAACCCTTGAACGCGAAAAGTCGGGAGGGTGTCTTTATAACTGCATCGTCGCACTCTGCGCTCCCACCTTTGCCACTCCGTCACTTCGTCTTCCTCCTCGCCCTCGCGCTCCCCTATTCGCATTCACACGCGCTCCACCGCTAGGGCTAAAAAGCTTGCGTAAAGGGACCAGTTCTGATCTAGATCTGAGGGATGGCGCCGAAGAGGAGAGGTGATAACGCGAAGAAGGCGGCCACCGAGGCGAGCCGTGACAAGGAATGGGTACCGTCACTCATGGGGGAGACGGAGCTCAACGAGATGGTGGAGGCGAGCGTTCTTCCTGGTCGTGTCACCGCCAGATGGCATCCGGCCGACGGTGAGCCCTATCTGATGCCACACACCGACGAACTCGTTGTATTCGAAGATTACTTCGGGCGTGGATTAGGGCTTTTGGTACATCCTTTCTTGCGGGATCTGTTAGAGTATTGGGGAATAAGCTTATGTGATCTTCATTCGAACACTATTTTGCACATTTCTATGTTTATCCACTTCTGCGAGGTTTATCTTGGCATTCTTCCCCATTTCAATCTCTTTCGACACTTTTTCTGGCTCAAGAAGAATGGAGGGGGCGGTTCCAAAGTTGTCGGTGGTGTGTATCTACAGCAGATGGCGAGCGAATATATTCCTATGCTGTTGAATACCTCGCTGAAGGGGTGGAATGCCAGGTGGTTCTATATGAAGCAAACTGATTCTGCCGTCCGATGCGATATCGACCATATTTCGGAGAATCAAAGGAGCTGGTCGAAGAAACCGACCAGTGCCAATATGGAATAGGTGAAGGAGCTCCTCGAGCTAATGAGGGGCATGAAGATGAGTGGAGTGGTGGTGGCGGTGAACTTCATACTGTGCCGCGTCCAGCCCTACAAGGAGAGGGCTCATGCGGGCTTTGACTTCAAAGGAGATACTATCAGCACCCAGGAGAGGACGAAGAACCTGTCGAAGGAGGTTGTGCTACACCCGGCCGCTGAATTATTCACTCCAAATGTGTTGTATACTGTGCCGGGGCAGCCAAAACCCTTCAACTGCACGAACTCACCTCCTCAGATAAAAATCTCGATTGTTGTTCCTGGTGCTTTTTATCCCGTGCCGGCGCTGAGCAGTGGAATAATTCGCTAGTGGAAAAAATCAATTGGCAGGAATGGGCGGCATACTTCTCGGGCGTGCCGAGGAGCGAATGGCCAAAGGCAGTGGACGCCAGGCCTACCACTCAGTCGGAGGAAGGTGCCATTAGCACCTCATCCGAATACGGAGGCGAAGGTGCTAGTCAAAAGTGGAGTCCCTCCCGGTATTGGAGAAAGTTCAAGGGAAAAGGGCGGTGGAAAATGAGCCAGCCCGAAAGAAAAGGAGAACAACGGATGTAGCTCCCCATAAGCCAGCCGACATCTCATTTGATGGCAGTCGGACTGCTTAGACGTAGAGTGTGGCGATATCTGAGTGGTTGGACGATGACAAGGCTCTAGTAGCTCCCCCTCTGAGCACCAAAACATCGTTGCACAAAACGCGCATGGAGGTATGATCGAAGGAAGGAGCAGACACCCAGCGTCGAGTCCCTGAGAAATAGCTGGCGGAGAAGACGCCGACGGTGGGGGCCATAAGACCACCAGCCCAGGACGCGTAGGTTGACCCTAGAGCAGGGCCTAGGAGCTCAGGGAGGCAGCGCCAATTCAAAACCGTTCATCGAGAAGCTGACGTGTAAGTATCTTTGCTTTGGAATCGGTGGCTATCCAATCTTTATAGTGGCGATGATCGATGAGCTAATCTGATGCAGAACAGGGCACGCGGAGGATCTTAATCCTTCAGGCCAAACTGGCTAGCAGCCGGGGGCTGGTCACAGCGCGGAGACATTGCAGACAGACTCCGTCCCAGAGTCCCCAGGCGCTCGTCGGTTTGCGGGGGATTCGACCACCGCTGCAGATAGAGTTGGAGGTGGAGAGCGGTCGGCGACAACAACAGGCGATTCGATAGAGACGCTAGTAGCAACGGTGAGAGCCGCCAAGTCTTCGAAGGTGGAAGCAGGAGCTGGCGGAGCTATGCCAGAATCGGGGGCACAGAGGCCGGTAGCGTCGAAGGAGCAAACGGCGCACCCTGAGATGCCACAGGGCATGGTCGGTCGCTCTGTGCGGCCACCGAACCCCCAAGGAGCACCACCGGCTTTGGACGAAGAGGACGAGGTCAAGGAGATCGAGCGTGAAGGATCATGACTATAGACCGTCCGCATCTTCTACAAACGAGGGGAGGAAGTTGTGGTCGTAGAAGAGGAGGACACCACCAGGGAGGTGAAGAGGCTACGGTCCATCCTTTGCACAGCTATGAAGCAAATTGAGGTTAGTGTTGTGTTAGCGGTGTCCGTCTTTGGCATTGGAGACTATGGTCTTTTATAATCTTGGTGCTTT